CCGCTATTGGTGTGATTAGATTAGAATTGATTAATGCTAAAGACTTGAAAAGCGCTGATTCTAATCTTGCTGGCGGTAAATATGTAATTAATTCATCCTATGCCGATTTATATTAGCGGAAACTTCGTTTTCGCTTATATACACACGTATCGGGATTTTGATTAATATCCCGTGATATAGAACCATAAATTTCATATTTGTATAATAATAATTGAATCAATTAAATTAATCAACAATAATGTTAATTAGGAATGTCTGATCCTTATATTCGAGTATTTCACGCCGATAATAATAAAGACATTATCGCTCAAACTAAGGTCATAGATAGCAGCCTGAACCCAGTGTGGAATGAAGTTCACTATCTGCCTGTTAAACATATTGGTGAAAAGTTCATTTTGGAGGCGATGGATTTTAACGCTTTTATAAAAGATAAAACGATTGGAAAGTGTCACTTAGAAATTACTCCTGAACTTGTCAGAGAAGTTTCAGATGATGTTTATGAAGGCACTCCAAATGGCATTGATGTGTGAGTATAAAAGGGTTATTAGTAGAATATATATATATATATTAATATCAAATCTTTCGCGAACAGCTTTTCTGCCTGTAGAAACCACAATTTCTTCGATTTCTAAATCTTTAAGTTCTTTACTGATGAACTGTTCAGCACGTTCATAAACATTACCCCATTCAATTTTGTAATCCTTTAATAAGAAACGTAAAAACCATAATATCATACTAGTGGACCGCACAGTAGGATTAATCTTATTAATCTTTATACGCTCTTCACGGTATTGATGTTTATATAATTTTAAAAGAGATTCTTGCGAGTCGTAACCAAATAGATTGGCTAATGCAACGGAAGGAGGAAAACCACCGTTTGGAGCTTGTAATGTAATAAGAACATATAATGTTGAAAGATCAAAAGGTTTCTCCTTAAGATTGGCAAGAAAATCATGAGTCGGTTTTGGAAGAGGTTCTAAGGGGAAGAATTTCGCTTTGTAATGAATTTGACCTTGAGTTGAGAGGTCTGCCCAACT